CTACGTCAGCTTGCTGCTCATCCCACTCTCATGCTCTAATCAAAGCCATGCACTGACTCCTTCAGAGATATCAGCCCAACACCAAGAGTTGTTAACGAATTTCCGAGGACAATGAGGTTCAATTAATTGCAGATCGCATACAAGCTCATCCGAGAAAAATAGATAAAAATAAAGAGGTCGAACAAGGGTGGACAAAAACCATCACCACCTGGAAAGACAGATGAAGGGCAAGGAATGAAAGGGCTGCTGTGACACTTGTTGTTGAATTAAGCCAATATTTGCAGCATGGAAATCACTAACAAGAAGAATGCCAATAACCTTCCGATTATCGGACCCGAAGCTGAAGAAAAATTGTGGGCACCGACCGAGAACGCCTGCGCTGACTTCTCATCCTTCAGTTTGATACTTGAAGTGCCTAAATCACGACAAACCGAAAAAGTCATAAGAATAAAATGCAACATAAAACGAAACACTGTAACAAATCAAACACTGAATGGAACGCTACTCACAGTTGTAGTCAGTCCACCCAATGGCCTGGTTTTCGATATCATACAAGACTAGCTTATTCGAAAGTACCAAATCTGCAAAGTCGGAACAATTACAATATTTGACGTAGGATTCAATTCGCGTGAATAAACCAACTAATAAATATTTGTTTTCCTGGCTTGTGATTCAAACCCTACCTCCCAGAATAGTCATGGACTTTCCGCCTTTAGATTTCATGGAGTTGGGTTGCCAACCAGAACACCAGACATCATCCTGTGTACAATGTCATGATAAATGTAAAATCTAAATTAGTCAACAACTCATGGAACAAGGTCAAGGTAATTTACTTTTGTTCGAGAATCTAAAACACTTGCCTTTAACCGGAACAGATACTCATGAGGATATGCAGTCAACACCACAGAATTCTTAAAATTAAACTTCACAGCGGGAAACCCATCGTCTACACTGCATGAAAAACGCACAAGGAAAAGTAAAGTTAGGTTTCAACAAGCGTCGCTCCTCTACGTATATTCACATGATTTGCTCAAGTTAATCAACAAATTCAATAGCTAAGATGAAACAGCTTACTTTCCGGAATACTCAAAACATGTAAACTGCTTGTCAATAATATGTTTTTTCAATCCAGACTGTCGAGCATATATCTGATTTACCAACAAAATAACAATGTGAGGTTTTTCAACCAAAAAAGGAAGCAATGTAGTCATTTAGACAACAAAATCCAAATGAAGGGAGTTAAAGAGCTTCTGTGACCACCTTTTTCATAAAAGGTTCATAAACCTCCGGCGCAAGATAAGCCAAGGTTGTTCCACTGTCAATTACTGCCCCGTTCCGGTCTTCAAAAAGGCCAAATAAATCTGTTGGAAGATCTACAACATCGCCACCCACCTCAATGGACTTCACCGTAACAGTGTAATGTGGCCTGAGATCATATCCAATAAAAGTAAATAATCACAAATTTCATAAGCTAATTACAGCATATTTTGCAATGAAGTACTACGAAGGATTCTGAGATCGTGTGACATACAGATTTGGTATCAGCGGAGTTGTGTTTTTCACTTTTGGTTCCACCACTTCCCCAATTGCCCAGATTCCACCACCTTTCACGTTATCCAAGCAGTGTGCGAATTCTTTTTTCACCTTTCCAGAAGAAGATAGCTGCGAGATCACGGATGCATTTGCCTGTCCAAAACCAAGTATTCCATCAACTGCTCCGGGAGATTTACCAAGATTCCCAGATTGTTTAGCTCCACACCTATTCCACAAGAGATTTAGCTTAATAACACAGCAAGAGCATATCAATAATGAATTATACAAACTCAAAGTAAGCCAACCTCAAACAGACAACGGGAAGCAACAAAAAAGACACTGAAAGTAATCTAGTTTTTATCTCATATTTATGCTAGTATCAGTATGACCATTGCGCAAAACTCACCCGAATACTATGGTTCCATTTGTTGAGGTTGTTTGATGGTTTCCAGTGACTTTATCAAGTTGGATATTGTCCTTGACATAGTAACCAGCAGTTGTGCTTCCATCTCCGTACGAGATACTATAATTGCAAAGCATATCTGCCTTGCAATCAGAAAGTTTACCTTTGAATGAGGAAGTGCAGAACTCTTGATCACACGTAACCTTGCTTGAAGTTGAAGAGCTCTTCGGATCGTACATTGTCAGCTTAAACTGTATCACAATAACTATAACGATAAGTGTTGTGGCGATCATCAAGTGGCTAGGGCGAAAAAAGAAGGCAATGGAAGAGGCAAACGTACACCAAGATTACTTTTAGTAGGACAATTGCTGCACTCTGCACAATTCACCCATAAAACGTCACTTCCGGTATCAACTTGCACATGAAAGTCCTTTGAAGGGGAGCCAAGTCCGATTTTCGCAATGTAGAGCCTAAATCCGGCAAAACATAACATGTAAACCAATATTATATAAGCATCCAACATGCAACGCAAAATTGTAAATGCAATCTGTAAGTATCACAAAACTTAAATTGCACCCAACTGAAAACTATGACTACATAAGTACACGTGATGCAACCTACAAAACAAACTAATAAAACCCAATTCAAAAACATTCTCACTTCAATATAACAGGTGAAATTCAATCCAAAATTTAACCTTAAACCTAAAAACAGGTTAGCAAACTGCAAGAACAGATTATTATTATTATTATTATTATTATTATTATTTTCAAAAGGAGGAAAAAAGAGACGAGAAATCTTTAATTGAGACAAATAGGTTGTAAGTTCTAACCTTAATTTACCAAAGCTCCCAACTCCCATTACATGGAAAGGGGAGTTGGTTATAAATATTAAACTTTTTTTGGACAAAATAAATATTAAACTTTGAATACAAATATATTTTAATACTGTAACAGAGGATTTAGGTTAAGTCACAACAATAATAATTAGGTATCGAATTGTAGTAATAGCGGAGGATACAATTGCATATTAAGTTAAGCAAGTAGATTATATAACATCAAAAGTAGAGAGATTGCCTTAATTTGTCAACATTTCCCTTAGCAATTTAGCATTACTAACTAATGAAATTTGATATTTTCGTTTGTTTTCAGAAGATATGGAATCAATTGTGGTTGGAGGAAAGCAATTACGCACCCGGCTTCAGAAGGATGGCCATTGCCACCTAATTGCAAATCGATAGCGGAGTCTGAGCCGGCGAGAAGCCTCTGGTGACGGCGAGCATCATGCTCTTTCCATGCACTCAAAGACACTTGCTTCCCAGCACCCTTGAACTTATGGCTCACCGGAAACACCATGTTACCCGACACATTTAATGCCAATGCGAACAAAACCACAAAACCAACCAACACGGCCACCCTTGTCCTTGCTGTTGCCGCCATTTCGAAAATTTTGTCACTTAACCAAACCCAGATTGAAAACAACTCGAAGATTCAATCTTTGAAAGAAAAAAATTTGTTTGGATCGGACCCGACAGACAACAGCCACCCTTTTCCAGACAAACCCGAGTTTTTGGAATAATTGCTTAGAAATGTGGGTTTTGTGGGAAAATCATGACCGAGTTGGCTGGAGAAAAAGAGCAGGCAACAAGGTTGGTGGCCCTGTGGGGAGAGGGGGAGAAAAAGCATATGCTGTATAAACAGCGGGATTATACAGCCAAGAAAAACACAGAGAGAGAGAGAGAGAGAGAGAGAGAGAGAGAGAGAGGATGAACGAGATTGTTGGGGGTTTCCAACGGCGAAGGACACGTCTTTCCCAAATAGTAAACAACGTCGACCTTTGTAGTTGTCTTACTTTTTTTGTCGTCATTTCACATTTGGTATTTTGGTTTCGTTGTCGATTTTCTGGTATGTTGTCTGTTTTGTGTTTAATGTTTTTCTTTTAGTTTATCTTTAATTACGCGGATTTCTGTTTCCTGTTTATTCTGGATTTTCTTCGGTTTTGGTTTTGGAATTTGGAGGGACACCCTAAATCATTTGCTTTAGGCCCCTCCTCGTCTCTCTCTCTCTCTCTCTCGATCTAAATTGTAACCTAAAAATTCATTGTCTTATGAGTTATGAAGATAGTCAACCGCACAGCCCATCATCACTTTATTCCCATCACGACGCAACCCATGATCCCAACCACTCTGCTTATCAGCTTATGCCATGCTTGGATGATTCACGCACATGCCTAGCTCATATATTCTTACTACTACCCGCCAAATGTGCTAAATGACAACGATCTGTAGTTGCTTGAAAGCCGTCAAATTTCTCATTTCTTAATGTCGGTTGAACAAAACCAATTAGGGTTTAATGTTTTACAGAGTAAATTCGAATTTGAGAACTAGTTTTATTTTTATTTTTATGGGAAGTGAGATTTTCACATACAATTTTTTTCTCATGCACATCTATGTTTATTTTTTTACTTTTGGGCTGAAATAAATATAAGAAGAATCAAGAGACATAACATAAGTAAAGTTAAGTTATGTCGGAAACTATTTTCTTTTCAATTTATGTCGACAAGGCAAAGCATACAACTTGAAAAATGATCAACCAAATGACTTTGACACCACTAAGTTTCTCATTACAAAATAAATATCCCATATAAATATGACACCATCATTTCCTCCCCATCACTATGACGTCCCAAAAAGCTCTCCGTCCCCCTCCACACCACTCATTCTATCGCTACAGTCTGCTAAAACAACCCACAAAATTTGAACTCTTACATTGACTGAAATACCCTGAGATTTCCCACATCAAACCGAAAGCCAAAGGTGGCATTCAGTCATTCAGTTATTTTGCTTGAACAAACTATTCTAAGCGACGAATATACCCCCAACTTCCCACAAACAGCCCAAAACGTCAGAGGGCAATGCTGTCATTCCACTCTCACGATCGCCATGCCTTCATCCACACAAAAAGTTGGGTGAAGTGACGAAAATGAAAGCGGATATCTCATAAAATCCCACGAACACGGTGGGCAAATCAGTCATTCCAAATTCACCCCTCTCCTCCGTAATATAGTCGTTTGTTAGTTTCTGGCTGCAACTAATTCACTGGGCTCTCCTCTCTTCTCCATCACAGAAAATGGCTCTGCAGTCAGCCGTACTCTCTCCTCACTCCGCCGGCGCATCCAAATCCCTACCATGCGCCGCCAAGTACCCGATCATTTGCTCCTCCTCTTCTACTGCCAGTTCGAGCTCCAGCAGAAGCTGCTTCCTTTCGCAGAGGAAGAGTGCGGCGGTGGAAATTGGATTGAGTAAGAAGAAGAGGGGTTCCTGGAAGTGTACGGTGAGGTCGAACTTGGACACTGTCGGTCCCACTGTGAATGTGGGCCAAGTCACGGAGGTCGACAAGGACACCTTCTGGCCCATCGTCAAGGCAGCCGGCGACAAGACCGTCGTCCTTGATATGTATACCCAATGGTATGTCTGTTTATGCTTATACTTCAACTTTCTGATTGGTCTCCGAGAAAATCCAAGCATAAATTCAAAAGAAAAGGAAACGAAAAGTAAGAAATCAAGAATATTTAAGTATGTTTAGGCTAAGTTCAGACAAATTTGGCCAATTTATCAGTTTAAACCAATTGGAAGTGGAATTTGAAAGTTTAGGATTTTGCTTTAGCGGAATTTCAGAATGTTGATTTCAACTCAAGATTTGGTTTCAGATGGTTATTTGTGCAAAAAATGTCACGTAAAAGCAAAAATGTTGTTTGAGTTTGTGGACTTTAATCGTGACAAGTTCTTGTGTGGAAACTGGAATCGTATGGTCCTGCTCTAAGTTGCTTATGTAAATATGTTCTTACAAATTTTTGAGATGCTAGTCCCCATATCATTCCCATGTACGTGTGATTTGAAAGTAGGGAACTTTAAGGAAAAACTTCTGGTAATGTTCACTTTAACCAAAAATCATATTTTTACACTAAAAAGTCAACCTGGTACTATTAACTTGACCCTTTATTTTATCTTTATCGTTAAAACTCAAAGTTTTCAAGCATTTTCATTAGTTATCCTTTGAAATTAATCCTATTTTGCTAGGTTAGGTAGGTTGTTTGGATTAGAGAAGCCCTTGGAAATGAACTATTGTAACCAGTTATGATTCTTGTACCGATCCCGGTCATCTTCTTGGTTAATTAGGCTACCAGTTTGTTGATTTTTTTCTTATTTGCCGCCAGTCCCGTCATTATGACGAATTAGATGAGTTAAAAGAGCACTGATCCTTTCCTATCAACTTTATTCATGATATCAGCAGTACACGAGTCCATGAACGGTTTGTTTGAATGCAACCTCAGCGACGTTATCTGCATCTAATATGGTACAAGGCTACAAGCACAAGCCTTTCACACGAAGAGAACCAAGAGTACAGCGTGCACCTAAATACGCATTTAAGATTACTTACTCCATTGTTCTGTGCAGGTGCGGTCCTTGCAAAGTGATGGCTCCAAAATTTCAAGACTTGTCCAAGGAGTACCTTGATGTCGTATTTTTAAAGCTTGACTGTAACCAAGAAAATAAGGTTGGTTCTATCTGTCATGGTTGAATTTGTTTTACTCAAGCGCGTCGCTGTGCTATGTCTTACGTTTAAAATGGTGATTGTTTCTTGTTAGCAGCCATTGGCGAAGGAGCTTGGGATAAGGGTGGTGCCAACTTTCAAGATCTTGAAGGACAACAAGGTTGTAAAAGAAGTGACGGGGGCCAAATTTGATGATTTAGTTGTTGCTATAGACGCTGTTAGATCGAGCTAAAACCCCTTAGATTTTCTCCATGACCTGTTTATAACGTAAATAAAAACATCCGCCGGCCTGATTATTCTACTTGTATGTATCCATGTGACGTTTTCTTTGAAATTGCAGTGGAAATTTGAATGAAGAAATGTAAGCAGGTCCATAATGTGCCTTCTTAGAAATAGCATATGGTGTTCATATTATGAGGATTTTCTTGGTACATTACTACATTATAATAAGGATTTTAGGTAAAAGGTGGAGAGATTTTTGTGTACCAGGATACGGTTTGGTACACCAAGTGTCAATGAAGAGAATGAGAATTTTTTTTTTTAAGTGTCCATCTGCTTACCAAACCATGTTCCTGATATACTAAAAAATCTATCAATCGTTTAGTTAAAATCCTTATTAAAATGTACCCAAGAAAATCCTTATCATGGAAGTCTCGAACTTTCATTTAAAAGATAGTAAAATTTGTGGAAGCTTCTTATTTCTCCCTAACTTACCATAAATAAATTAAAAGCGTAAGTTTAGGTCTAGGCTTTTAAAAGAAAAGAAAAGGCATAATAGAAATATGATAGCCAGCTAACAGGGGCATCTTCCGTGGGGTTGCCGGAATGTTGGAAACTCACACCCAACCCAAAATTGCCAGATTCGAATTGAGAGAAAAAGGGAAGAAAAACATGATAAATGAGAAAATTCGGTACAACCACCGATTTTCATAATCTCGGATTTTATCTCTCAATTTTCCTTTAACTTATGCAATTTATATATTAAAATCAAATAAACTAGAGAAAAAAAATGAGAACACCTTCCTCATTAAGCACATGACCTTGTATAATTACATAAAAACATTACATGTCAATACATCGTTGGATTGGAATACATAACAGTGAACTCATTAACAACGCGTTTCTTTTAGAAGATAGAGCATTATTCAAACTTAAATGTTAAAAACCGCACTGTCATGACCAACAGCCAATCTCACATATGCAAGAAACTACAAGAGAAATATAAATGCCCTAATGTTCGCCGACAATTACACTGCCACCCCTAAAAAGCTTGGTGGCCTAGGTATAATTACATAAAAACGTTACGTGTCAATATATTGTTGGATTTGAATGCTACATAACAATGAACTCATTAACAATGCGTTTCTTGTATAATTAAATAAAAACACTGTCATAACCAACGGTCAATCTCGCATATGCAAAAACTACAAGAGAAATAGAAATGCCCTAATGTTCGCCGACAATTACACTCCCACCCCTAAAAAGCTTGGTGGCCTTGGTATAATGTTTGCAAGCCAATGAAATGACGCCACCTTAACACAGTGATGCAAAGCTGAAAGACAATAACACCCTTCAAATATTTATAATATAACACCCATAGCTCCACCCAGCCTCTGCCGAGTCTGCAGTGTCTCAATCAAATAGAGAAGATTTGTCGGTTAAAAATTCAAATCCCAAAAGAAAGTCAAGGGTCAAATTTGACAGGTAAACTTTTCTTAATCCATCCTCTTCTCTTTCTCTCTCTAAAACCCAGAACAAGTCGCAGAAGAAGGAGAAGAAGAGGAAGACGAAGAGGAAGAGAGAGAAATCAGAAATGTGTGGGATATTTGCGTATCTGAATTACGACGTCAACAGAGAGAGGCGCTACATTCTTCAGGTGCTTTTCAATGGCCTGAGGCGTTTGGAATACCGGGGATACGATTCCGCCGGGATTTCCATCGATCATTCTTATTCCTTCGATCCAAACACCCCCCAATCTTCCCCGCTTCACCCCCTCGTTTTCCGCCAGGAGGGAAACATCGAGACCCTCGTCAAATCCGTATACCAAGGTAACTCCTTCCATTCTCAATCTTTCTATTCTTGTTCCTTATTTGTTTCTTTCAACTTTCTCTTTGGTTGCCGGGAAAATGGCGGAAAAAATTAACTGGAAACTTTGTTCGGAACGAAAATTGACCCAGAAAAGTGGTCCGGGTTAATTTGGCGGGTCAACCAGTGAGAATGATCGTAGGTTGAATTTCTCTGCGTCATTCCTTTCCGATGAAGTTTTGATTGTTAAGTTGTTAATCGGGATAATATTTTTGTACATTCTGTTTGGTTGCCGAGAAAACGGTGTAGAAAATTAGCGGTAAACTCTTTTTGAACAAAAATTGACCCAGTTAAAGTGGTCAGGTATAATTTGGCGGGTTAACCCAGTAATAGTGATCATTGTTCGATGAAGTTTTGATTGGTTAAGTTGTTAGTGGAGTGGGGTTTATAGAGCAGACAATGGCAGCTTAAGCTTACCTACAGAATGATAATTGTAACGCAAAAAAAAAAAAAAAAGAGCACATAAAAAAAGTTTAGAATTTGGACCTTTTTCTTTCTTGTGTAAAGATTTCTATATCTTGCAAGCAGTAGTTTCTTTAACATCGGTCTCTTTGACGTTTTCCTTATGCTGTGACAAACCTTATGGGGACTACGAATTGTATTGCCCTAAAATCATAAATAAATATGGGTAATAGGATTTTGAATTCAACTTTCGGGGTTTTGCAAAGTTCTCACAACTAAGAGAAACTAATCAAATGTTAACGTTGGTTTTGTAAATCCAGAGGTTGCTGAAACAGATTTAAATTTGGAAGAATCTTTCTCTCACCATGCTGGAATAGCACACACCCGATGGGCCACCCATGGAGAGCCAGCTCCAAGGAACAGCCATCCACAGAGCTCTGGTTCTGGAAATGAATTTTTGGTTGTTCACAATGGAGTCATCACTAATTATGAGGTTTGTTTAAGATTTCTGCAGTGAAACTTGTTACGTGTCTCTTGATTGTTGTTTTGGCTTCTAGATTAAACAGCCTCTATCATCAATGGCTTATGCTGATTTACCTTCTTGTTCACTTTTTCAGGCCTTAAAGGAATCACTAGTTCGGCACGGATTCACCTTTGAATCTGAAACAGACACAGAAGTAATTCCAAAGCTTGCCAAATATGTTTATGATAAAGCTAAGGAAGGAGAAGGTAACTTTATATACGATTAGAAGTAGTTAAACATTTGCTTCATAAGTATAACTTACAATTTGGAGTTCAAATTTTATATTTGCAAATGTTGAATTGACATTTATATATAGTACATATGATTATTACTTGCAGTTATCGATTCAGAACTCGTGAACTGATATTTTGACAGTCTTATGTGCTTGTAAATTAGAAAAGAACTTATTAACTGAAATACTAAAAAGGTTTTCCCTATGAATTGTTCTTAGAGGCAAGAAGCATTTTATCACCCTGTAGCTCACATCTTCCTACCATATTTGCCCAAAAGACACAGTAGCTAAGGCAGGAAAAGTGCTTTCATTGGATATGAGTGCATTTTAGGATGAGTGCATTTTACTGTTGTTGGGGGTAGTATATAAAGCCAATCATTGTGTTATGCCAATACTGATAAACTGTATTTCCTTTTATTGTATTGTTTCTTGGAATACTTTTTACTGTTTCACATAAATCTTTGAAGCACAGTCTAGGCTGATATTAGAGTGTGATGTTTGTGTTTCAGGTGACCAGACTATCACATTTAGTCAAGTTGTGCTTGAGGTTATGAGGCATCTTGAAGGTGCATATGCCCTGATTTTTAAAAGCCGGCATTATCCAAATGAGTTGATTGCTTGCAAGCGTGGCAGTCCGTTGCTCCTTGGTGTCAGAGTATGCTTTATTTGGAATTAATGCTTAACAGTTGTAGCTAATTTGAAGCTTCTAATTACAAGTGCCCACCACAGTTTCTCATTGACACTTTTGGCTTAATCTCTGTTAGGAATTTAACGAAAATGCTAGCGGTGGATCTGCATTTCACGATGATAATTTCCTTTCAAAAAGTGGACATCCCAAAGAACTCTTTTTATCCAGTGATGCAAATGCTGTAGTTGAACACACTAAAAAGGTTTTGGTGATTGAGGATGGTGAAGTGGTACATCTGAAGGTACTTGAGTATTGTCTTTTATTATGTTTTAATAGGACACATCCATTTTGGCATAATGCTGGGGGAAATTTGAGCTAGTTTTCTTACTCTAACATCATGCCGGGCCAAGATGTTATTGATTCTGGTTTCTATGCTAGTTGTGCTTAATTGCTTTGGAAACTTGAGCTATGTGCTCATAGAAGTTTCTTTTGTTTTTCTCCATTGTGGTGATTGTTTCAGGATGGAGGTGTTTCTATCATGAAGTTTGATAAAGGACAGCATGGTGGCCTTTCAAGGGTTGCATCTGTACAACGAGCTTTGTCCATTCTTGAGATGGAGGTTGAACAAATAAACAAAGGGAGTTACAAACATTATATGCAGAAAGAAATTCATGAACAGCCTGAATCTTTAACTACCACAATGAGGGGGAGACTTTTACGTGGAGGTTCCTGCAAAGCCAAGACTGTTCTCCTAGGTGGACTGAAGGATCACCTTAAAACAATTAGGCGAAGCAGGCGAATTGTTTTCATCGGTTGTGGTACAAGCTACAATGCTGCTTTAGCTGCAAGACCTATTTTGGAAGAACTTTCTGGTCAGTGTTTTTTGTCTGTCAGAAATCCTTTCCCGATTGTTTTCAATAGTTCTGATTCTTTTCTGCTTTATAGGTATTCCTGTCACAATGGAAATTGCTAGTGATTTGTTGGATCGGCAAGGACCTATATACAGAGAAGATACAGCTGTCTTTGTCAGTCAGTCTGGTGAAACAGCAGATACTCTGAGTGCTTTGGAATATGCGTTGGAAAATGGTGCATTATGCGTTGGCATAACAAATACTGTTGGTAGTGCTATAGCCAGGAATACACACTGCGGTGTTCATATAAATGCTGGCGCTGAGATTGGGGTGGCTAGCACCAAGGTAACTTTGTTACTTTATTCTATTCTTGCTTTTGTGATTTTGTGTTTTAATATGACTGTCTTACCATCATCTTGAATAGGCATACACGAGTCAAATAGTGGTGATGGCTATGCTAGCACTAGCTATAGGAGGTGACACAATTTCTAATCAAGCACGAAGAGAGGCTATAATTGACGGTTTATTTGAGTTACCAAGTAAGTTCCAGCTTTTCTCTTCTTACCATGTCAACTGCAGTGCATTTCTTTATTGTTTTCCAAGAAGTAACTTGTAAGAAGTCATTATAAAATGACTTTGTGGGTTTGTTCATTACGTTCTGTGCAGACAAAGTCAGAGAGGTCCTGAAGCTTGACGGGATGATGAAGGATCTTGCACAGGAACTGATAGCTCAGCAGTCACTTCTTGTGTTTGGGAGAGGATACAACTACGCAACATCTCTAGAGGGTGCTTTGAAGGTAAAGGAAGTGGCCCTTATGCACAGCGAAGGAATACTAGCCGGTGAAATGAAACATGGCCCTTTGGCTTTAGTTGATGAAACTCTCCCTACACTTGTGATTGCCACCCGTGATGCTTGCTTCAGGTTTGTCCTGTCACAGACAGTTGGGAACACTTGCATGCTTTTGCAAACGTACCTGATTTTCTTACTAATGACCTGTGGTAATTTACAGTAAGCAGCAGTCAGTTATTCAGCAGCTTCATGCGCGCAAAGGTCGACTCATAGTAATGTGTTCAAAAGGAGATGCTGCATCAGTGTGCCCTGGGGGGACTTGTCGAGTGATTGAAGTTCCTCAGCTTGAGGATTGTCTTCAACCCGTAGTTAACATTGTTCCATTGCAGGTATTTATGCATTTTTCTCCTGGCTTTATATTGCACATAACATTAGTATTTAGGTTGGAGCTTCTCATGCCAGACTTTAATGCTTAAGCCGTATTTACTTTTTTATTTATTTATTTTATAATTATTATTAATAGTGTGACTCTGTATAGATAGATGATAGATGGATGGATAGTTCTTCTTCATTCGAACTTGTCCGGATCTCCCACAAAAATGTAATATCTTTGTTTTCTTTCCCTGGTGCAGCTGCTGGCATACCATCTCACTGTTTTAAGAGGTTTCAATGTGGATCAGCCTCGGAATCTTGCAAAGAGCGTGACTACGCAGTAAAGAAGTTGAATGGATGGACACACCTGAATATGCTTGTGTGTGTGTTTAAATTATGCTGAGGAACAATATTAGGACCTTTTGTTAAGAGAGATTATTTTGCTGAGGTTGTAATATATGTATGTTGTTGGTAATGTATGATGCTCTGCTGAGCCTGTACATCTTCGGCTTTGTAAATCTTTTGGTACTATGAACAATGCTAACCACCCTGCCCCTAATTGCATTTCGAATTAGATGCCTTGTATAAAAAGAAACAAAAGTGATTTTCATTTTACCTCCATCTATACCAAAATTTTTAAAAATCAGTGAAACGAGTGGAATTTTTAATTTTCGATCTTATAAAAAGGGAAAACTATTAAAAATAATTTGAAAACTATGAATTTTAACGATAAAGATAAAATAAAGGGTAAAATAAATAGTATTATAATTGATTTTTTAGAATAAAAATATAGTATTTCGTTAAATTAAACTGTATCGGGAATTTTTCGTTAAAAAGTTATGGGAGTCCGTTTCGGGCAGAAGCAAAGCTAGTCAAGTCGAACGCCCTGAAACCCTAAATGCTAAAAGAACCCAGCCACCGCCTCCGCCTCCGCCCTAGCCCCCCCCCCCCCCCCCCCCCAAAAAAATAAATTGTCGAAGAAAGAAGCAGCAGCAACTCAGATACTTGGCGGAAACAATATGGGCGTTCTTCAACTATTTGACGGCGGCAGCGACTCCGAGAACGACGACGTACCGCAGCTCAAAATCAATGAAGATTTCGCTCGCAGGTACGAACACAACAAGAAGCGGGAGGAGCTCCAGCGCTATGAGGAACTGAAGAAGCGAGGCCTCGTGGCTGACCCCTCCGATGCTTCAGACTCTGAACCGGATTTTGAATCGGACGACGACTACGCCCATGTCGCCAATTCCAAGAAGAGAGAATTGGAGTTTTTGGATGGTCTGCTCAAGGTGAAAAAGCATGACCCTATCTTGAAAATCAAAGATGTTGTTTTGTTTAATTCTGATGGAGCTGAAATTATCGGAAACAATGGAGGAGGGGGAGAGGGAAGGGCGAAGAATAGGAGGAAGATGTACTTGAAAGATGTTAACGCTAAGCATTTGATCGAGGACGGCCCGGAACTGGCGGAGGAGGATGACAAGAACATTGGTAAAAACAGTAAGGTCTACAACGAAGAGCAAGAGCGGATAAGGAGAGAATTCTTACAGGCCGCCGCAACCGAGGAGGATGATGATGGTGAGTTTTTGATAGAGAAGAATAAGAATGCTGCGGGGGATGATGATGGTGATAGTGTTGATAATGATCAGTATGAGAAGGCATTGGATGAGTGTTTCCCCGAATCTGATGAAAATGCTATGTTTCTCAAGAAGTTCTTTAAGGATCAGCTATGGAAGGAGGATAAGGATCCCGAGTTAAAGGAGGAGGATTTGGAGGTGGTGTCTGAGGATGAGATGGAGATCGAAAGGCAGGAGGAGTATGAGCACAGGTTCCAGGAGAATGCAGGTGATCGGATTATGGGGCATTCCAGGCAAGTTGAGGGGTCGGTGAGGAAGAAGGTCAAGGCGAGGAAGGAGCAGAGGAAGAGCAAGGAGGAGAGGATGGAGATTGCAAGGTTGGAGAGGGAGGAGGAGTTGAGGCATTTGAAGAATTTGAAGAAGAAGGAGAATGACGAGAAGGTTAAGAAGATAATGGAGATTGCGGGACTTAAGGAGGGCGAGGTGTCTACATTTAATCCAAAGGAGTTGGAGAAGGAATTTGATCCACAAGAGTATGATAGGATGATGAAGAAGGCTTTTGGTGAGAAGTATTATCAGGCAGAGGATGCTGACTTAGAGCATTATAGTGATATGGACAAGGATGATGATGAGATTGAGAAACCGGACTTTGATAGGGAGGATGAGTTGCTTGGGCTTCCTAAAGGTTGGGATACTGTTGGTTCTGGTGACGGGTTCTTAGCTGCAAGGGAGAAGGCTTTGAAGCGGAAAAAGGAAAATGTTGGTGACCATGAGGAAGAGGAAGAGGAAGAGGAAGAGGAAGACGAAGTGGAAGAGGAAGGGGAAGAGGAAGTGGAAGAGGAAGAAGAAGAGGAAGTGGAAGAGGAAGAGGAAGATGAAGAGGAAGAGGAAGAGGAAGGAAAAATGAGTGAGGAAGATAAACAAGAGAAAAAGCGTAAATTAGCTTTATTGGAGAGAGCTAAGAAGGAGATGATGGATGAATACTATAAGTTGGATTATGAGGATACAATTGGAGACTTGAAGACCAGATTCAAGTATGCTAAAATAAAACCTAATAGATATGGCTTGACTACTGCTGAGATATTAGCGATGGATGAAAAGGAGTTGAATCAATATGTGTCTTTAAAGAAGCTTGCCCCTTATACAGAGAAAGAGTGGAAGGTACCAAACAACAAGAGAATGGAGATAAAGCAGAAAGCTAAGGAGATTTTCAGACAAGGAAATGTGGGTAATAAAAAGAATCGCAAGAAGCTGAGAATAAGTGAAGCAGCTAAGGGTTCAAGCTTATCAAAGGGTGCCGCAGGGCAATCATCAATGGCTGCCCCGGAACATGGGAAAGAACAAGTAGGGGACTCAAATGGTGATAAAAAAGAATCCAGGAGTGCTAGAAGAAGGCGTCTCCAAGCTGCACGAAAATTACCAGCTTCTAGGCTCATGGCATATGGGGTGGTACCTGTAAAATCTAAGAAAAAAGGGAAGCACTGATCTGAACCACTTGTTAAATCAGAGCAGTAGACAGGTAATTCTTTCACAAACTTATAACCTTAAGCTTATATCATACAGTGTTTGTTTCTTTTTTTTGTTGTTGTTGTCTTGCCCCTCTCCCTTTTTTGCATTGTATGTTTCTGTACTGGTTTAATGCTTTGATGTGGTTGCTGGAAATAAATTGTTATTGCCCCTAGTGCGTGGAAGCTCTTTGTAGGTCAAAGTCAGTCTTTTTCGGGTAAAATTGGTTGTAGGTACAAGCTGATACTATAAGGGGGGGCATGTCCTATTGTATGGTTTAGTCATTGGAAGGGAGAACATTGAATGGGTTAGGGCAGTGGAAAGGAGAAATTGTGCAATGGCATGCTGAACTCTGGTGAATGTTATCACTGTTGCACCTTAGATTTATATCTGTACTATTATGCTTGAGGAAAGGAAAAGCAAGACTGGAAGAACACCATGATTGAGTTGTACTAATGCGAACCGTAGTCATTTATAAAGTTGTGTATAGAACTAGAAGCCCATCCATTTCTGATGCATAAATATTTCTTTGCACAAGTGATGTTCATTGAAACCATACCGGTCTTTTAGTCATTTTCTGCGATTTCCTGTTTGTTAGCTAGGTTAATTCTTAGCCTTAGTCTCATACACTTTAGATTAAGCCAAAACAATGCCTTATTCTTTAATTTTGTTTACATATGTCTGTGGGTGGTAAATATTTCATAGCATCGGTGTGATCTCCTTCAATGTTATGGATTATGTAGACTGATGCTCTTTTTGGATTTCAGTTGAAGTCATACACGTTAGCTCATTTGGTTCTCATGTCCATAGGTAGTGGTTGTTTGGTATTTATAACATGAAGACGGACTACAATTTTGCAAAGACGAAGTATATTGAGGGTTTTATTGAGTTGATAGCATAGCAGAGGCTAACCAGGTGAGAACAAGTTGAAAGGAAGACTTGTCGATTGAGATTGTCACTTTTTGTTTTTGCATTTTATGTAAACTTACGGTTTAGAAATCTAAGTAAACTAAAATCATCGTTGTTTTCCTGTTCTTGAATACAGCTATTTATCAATGTGGACGATATGCCAAGGGTTTCTTATGTACAATCTTGTTCATGTGTTCTATTACAATCAAATTGAATATTTCTTATTTTATGTGTTGACAAGTGATCTCCGCACATTTTTTCTTTGTTTTCTGCATGTCATCAATATACCATGGGAATTGGTTATACTACTGTTTGGGCCCAAAATAACAGTTTGGGCCGAGGGAGGAATCACTTTCGGCCCAGGAAGACGTACGGCGAGAGGGTCATGGGGCGTTCAGCTCATGGGCTTCTAGGCCTAGGTCGGTTAAATCAGAATGCAAGTCGAGTCCTAATACAATAGGGACCCTCGACGAGATCAGTAAAACTAGAAGGCGAATCCGGCTCAGTTAAGGACTAGATTCGTAGTCCTAGCAGAGATAGGACTGATCGAGGTAATGTTAATCCGGAGAGGGAAACCTAGTTCGAATAGGATTGGAACTCGGGCTCGGTGTTCTGCTACTATAAATACAAGACATTCAGCAATGGAAAAGCCCCACAAAATCAACACAAAAATTGCCCTGCGCAAATTCTCACAACTTGAGATCTTTTTCTTTTCCTTTTTCGCTGACACATCTTCCGTTGGCATCAACAGCACTGTGGAAGCAACCGGTGATATCTTAAGTCGGCATAGATAGCTCTGTCACCGTAGAGTCGGTCGGTCTCGCAGTATCTTCCGTTGGCATCAACAGCACTGCGGCGAGAACGGTCGATTGCCTATCCAAGTCTCTCGGTCGAGAGAAGGGTTTTCGAATCCTTGTTGGTCGAGGTCATCTCATTAGCCTTCTCGGCGAGGTGAGGTGTTACAGTTATTACATTCGGCACATTGTAAGCCGAATTCGGTTCGTGAACTTTGTAAGAAATAGCAGCCTTGTCTTCAGGCTCGAGAACCCAAGAGGCCGAGACGCGTTCCTTTCTCGGCCGCAATCGCAAGACGCAGAAGTCAGTAGCGCGACCCAACGCAGCATCATCAAATTTACTCCTCGGTCGAGCCTCGGCCGACGAGTTGGCACGCCCCGCAATCACCGAAGGACGTAGTTAGCTTAGAATATATTCGGCCTGCGCGCCACGTAGGCTTTTGTAATTTCTAGGGTCAACATTTTGGCAACGCCCAGTGGGACCCAGTGCTAAACTACGAAGTTCATGCCAATTGAAACACGATCGGTAAAAAAGAAAACAGCTATGGGAAAGTCGACAGCCGATTTACCGAGTCAGAGCATAGGACAGAGTGTGCCACAGGCGCAGAATCCCCTTAGCGTTGGTACACCTGAATCCACGAGCGCGACTCGTCGAGAGAGAGAACTTAATCTCGGCGGTCAACTCCGTGGTTTAGAGATCCCTAACAGAAACACGTGCGTTCTCAATGAAGGGATAATAGAGGAATGTGACGAGGATGGTGGTGAAGGATCAGACCCACCAACGAGGTCGTTTCTCCGAAAGCGACTGGACGAGCAGTCTCGGTCAGTCGAGCAGACGTTCAGTCGAGGCATTGACAAGCTGCATGACGCGATACTTAGTGCCAATGATCGGCAAACCAAGCTGCTCGAAATGCTGGTTAGCCAAGTTGGTGGCAGCAGGCCTTTCGATCTTCGCCAACCTTGTTTACCAGAAAACAACCCGGCACCGATTGTACCGGTTGGGCCTATTCCTGCCCTGCTCAAACCAATTAACTTGGAGAAAGGAGGAGGGTCGAATAGTAGGTCAGACGGGACCGACCAGAGGGTCGAAGCAACACCTGTTGATATGACCGAAGTTCAGCGGATGATTGACTCGGCCATGAAGAAAGGGCCGAAGTTTCCTAAGTTTATTCATCCGTACCCAGCTTACGTGGAATCGTTTGGGTACCCGAAGGGTTTTCAAGATCCCAGATTTTAGTCTTTTTGCCGGTGAATCGTCTTTATCTTCGTTGGAGCACGTGGCTCGTTTCACTGCGCAATGCGGAGATGTCAATAGTGACTTTCATAAGTTACGGCTATTCAACTTCTCATTGACCGGCTCGGCATTTGCTTGGTACATTAATCTACCCCCCAATTCCGTCCAGAACTGGGAAGAGTTGGTCGAGAAGTTCCATGAGCAGTTTTATCGACCAGGGATGGAGATGTCAGTTTCTTCATTAGCAAGGATGGCTCAGGCATCTGATGAATCACCAATGGACTATCTCACTAGGTTCAAATCGGCCCGGAATTGGTGCCGAGTGCCCTTACCCGAAGTCGAATTCGTCAGGCTTGCTTTGAACGGCCTCGACGTCGAATATAAAAAGAAATTCCTGGGGGCAAACTTTCGGGACATGTATGAATTAGCCCAGCATGTGTTGAACAGTACGACTACTTGCTCCGTGAGGAGAAGGTTTCGAAAAACGCCATCTCGGGGGACGTTGTACAAAAATCCTACTGTCAGCTATGCGTCAACCGAGGATGAATGCGTCAGTGTGGATGCGGCCGAGATAGTGATAGATAAGCCATACGTTTGTAAGGCATTAACTCAGGTTGATTCTAGAGAAGTCAAAAGTCGCTCGGCCGCTGAAGGAGTGTTGAAACCATCAAAGGTCTATACTTTTGATATTACCAAGGCTGACGCGATCTTCGACCAACTGTTATCCGCAAGAATTATCAAGCTTCGGCCCGGTCACAACATTCCTAAGGCCGAAGAGCTTAAAGGGAAGGTGTATTGCAAATACCACAATTCAAGCAAACATACGACAAACAATTGTGTCGTGTTTCGCGACAACGTTCAAAACTGGATTGATAATGGCAAACTGAAATTCCCCGAAAAAAAGATGGGTGTGGATACTGATCCATTCCCCACGGCAACAGTAAACATGGTCGACGCGTACCTACCCAAGGACAAAGGGAAAGGCAAGGCTAAAGTGGTTGAGACACAACGCCCGCGGAATCAGAATGTTCGGCCACGGTTCATGGCCGATTTTCGTTCAAAATAAACCACCTACGGCTTTAACGGGACCCGCTATTGTCAAATCTATGATGGATTATAGTACTGATGAAGATAGTGGAACGGCGGTTTTGTGCAGGAAATGTAGAGCGAAGGTCGACAGTGTGAATCAGAGGAGAAGCCTTCTTCGGAGCCTGTGGCCGCAACTTGGCAAAAGGTAGCCAATGAAGGCCACCATCACGGGGTTTTTGAGAGGCTCGGTCCTAAAGTACGGATGGAAGATACACCCCCGGTCAGGCGGCGCCTTGATTTTGATGCTTCATTTTATGACGATGATTACTATAAGCGTAATTCTAGCAGTTCAGGATCATCACGGAGTCAAAAGACCTTCAAGCCTCCCGAGCCTAGAGATCAACGTTGGTATACATACCATTCTTCGAAGGGCGTTTACACTGCGTTGTCCAAATCTCAGAAACGCCGGCATCAACGGATAGATTGCATGGCTCGCCGACAAGCAGCCCAAGAAACTTCGGCCCCTAAGTGGCGACCGAAGGATACAGTTGCCACTAATGAAAAGCGACCACCTTCACCAATTATGACAGAGTTGGCTCAGGGGAAACGGCTGGTCGATCAAGACGTCGAGACCATGTTTGAAGAAGCTGATAAGCAGATCAAACTTCTCATTCGACCAGGGGAAATGAAGGCACGTGTTGAACATTTCAGGCAAAAGGCCGAAAGCAAATTATCCCCGCTAGCTATACAAGAGCCTTTGGTCAAAATTCGACGGAATTTGCACCCCCCGTTCCTTGGGGAGTCTTTGGAGTATATGCGAGAATTTCATAAGGAACATTCGGCCAACGATTTGTATGGTTTGCCGAAGGCATGTCAGGACACCATTGATCTTGTCTTGACTTGTCCGGATGCTGAGCGGATCATCCAGAAGACCTCAGATCCAGGATTGAAAGCAAGGTTCCAGCACATACGAGAAGCATGTGTCTTTGGATTTGAAGTTGACCCGTATACCGATATCGATGTCGCTGACCTTCCTTTCTCGCTAGAGGACCTTCAGTATTTACGGTATCACTTTGAAGTATTTTCGGCGGTTTCTCTCTTCGGCCTTACGACCGATGAAATCGCCCGTATTGCCCGTCTGGATGCTTATCTCGACACTAGGGATGCTCGGCTACACTACCAGGAGCAGGTTCAGGTCTTGACCCCAAGCTCATTGTCAATCTCGACCTTACCTGAGGCGGTTCAGGTCTTGACCAACAAGTGGCCGAAGCAGCTCCGCCGAGTGACATTATTGAAGGGACGGAAGAATCTCGTTGTCCGACTCTGACGACAACTGAGTACGTAGTCGCTAACCAACCGAACGAGGAGGGTCTCGACCAAATGGGCCCGTCAGTCCTGGATAATATGGAAATTAGTATGGTCCATGTATTACCTGCCGATTTTCAATCAAGCACGGCTCAACCAAATTTCCTCGATGGAGATGTGGTTGTCGAGGAACCTGGCCATGTTGATTTTATATCGATTGCTGAAGGCGAGTCAACAGCAAAAGAAGATAGTCTAAAGGCCGCTTTGGCCGAATTGTTCCCTCGTTTATCATCGGCCAAGCTTCACCATTTAAAGCCATTGTATGTAACGGCACACATCGAGGGATATCCGGTTTCTAAAGTTTTTGTCGATTGTAGAGCTACTGTCAATATCATGCCCCTGAACATCATGAAGGCCTTACGCCGTTCAAATGACGAGCTTATTCCGTCAGGGATCACAATGAGTAGTTTCGTCGGCGATAAGTCCCACACCAAAGGTGTGCTTCCGTTAACTGTGAATATTGCCGGTCGCACCTATATGACCGCCTTTTTCGTGGTTGATTCCAAAACCGAGTATAATGCACTGCTCGGCCGAGATTGGATTCATCAAACCAGTTGTATTCCTTCCTCATTGTACCAAGTGCTTGTCTTTTGGGACGGCAAATCGGTCACTGTTTTCATCCGGCCGATAGCCAGCCCTTCGAAGCCAACATGATTCAAGCACGGTATTATGACGATCACGTCGGCTATATTACGTTGCAAGGCTTCAATGAAGAGGGACGGCCGACTCGGATTTTCGTTCAGAAAGCTATCGAGGTTGGTGCCGAGACTGTCCAGCAGGATTCGGCAAGACTCGGATTAGCTAACTTTCTCCCCGAAGCCGAT